TCCCATAAAAATTTAGGATCATTCGATGTAGAATTGCATTCCGAATTCAACACAACCATTTTCAGATCCAACACAGCTAAAGCAACGAATCCGGGCTAAAATTACTTTCACAATATTTTCAAAAAAAAGTAGTATTTTCGGCTAAAGTACCGGGTTTTAATTGGTAACCTCTCCAAAAATTACACCATTCGATTCAGCGCAAAATTCTGCATCCAACACAACGAAAATAAAAATCAAGACAATCATATACGCAAATCGGGGCTGGAAAAACTCGAATCTTGAGCTAACTTCCCTAACGTAAGACTTACTAGGTACTGTAAGATGCCTTGTTTTGTAGCTGTCGGTGTTTGTCCGTGAGCCAGACGGACATACATATCTAATGTAATCTAAACAAGAGCATAGAAAGAAAAGTCTAAGATAGTTTACTTACGAATTCATTCTGAATAGAGTTTGGCAATGCAGTATTACCATGTAGATATTTGCTGTCGGCAAGACAACCTATACCCATAATTGATAATTCTGATTTATTTCCATTCCTGAAATCACAACGAATATTTGTTGTATGAGGAATATTTTGGTCTTTATCATTTGCAGTCACATGTATTAATAGACCAGATAAACTAGTAGTTGTAGAGGCACCAGCCAAATCGATCAGAACTGATATATGTGAATTTTTTGAACCATGGAGATCGTGAACAATTAAATAGCATTCATCTGCTAATTCAATATTGATCGGATATAATGGAATATAGTTAGACATGGAACTGAATTCTTCGATTCCGATTATTCCCATAAAAGAATTTGTTTTTGTGTCAATAGTTGAATCTAAAACTTGAAAAAAGAGAATGCCAAAGCAAGTAAAATGTAGACGAAACAATGACAGTGAGTTGTAGATTAAAACATTTTCTTGGATGGTTAATGTATAGTGTTCCATTGTATTGCATTTCATCTTTCTTCGACATATTATTGTAAAGCATTTATTTGTGCTACTTCTACATACATGTAAATGCATGTAGTCACCGTTTAAGGGAAACTAACGAGTTAAGGAAAAACATGGATATCATTATAAAGTCACAAAGCACGGAATGTGATTGGTCAATAGCTACGAATACAAATCATTTATTAAAGCGATTATTCAAATGTAAAAAAGGAAAGGTATCTCTGTTTGATAACCCATGTAGTAGAAACCGGAGAAAAACCAGCGGTTAACCGCCGGTATACCGATCATATAACTGAGGAGTTTACCGGCGGTTAAACGGCGGTTTTTGATGAATCTATATGATATTTTTATTGGTTGCCTTTTGTAGTTCTGATTTAATTTAGAAGTTTGTGCATTATTTTATAAAGGACGGGGGTCGATAAGACCCGAAATCGGCCCACGACAAATTTGCTCTCATTTCCTCACAGAATGGTTCCTAATGATACGAAAAAATGTTTTTCAACGAAATCCAGTGAAAAAAACTTTATATTTTGCCGGCAGCGCAAAAATCAGAAAACTGATTTTTCTGACCTCTTTTACATCATAATTCATAGTCATTTCACGACAACTGCGCAGTAATGCGTCGAAATATATATCATTCGACAGCACTTTTCGAGGGCTTTCGAACGGTGTCAAAACACGCGAGAAAATACCTTTGCCTGAGGGTGGTCTGTTAC